TGGTGGTGGCTCGTGGTTGACGAGCGATAGCAGTGCTGCTCGTAGCTTTCGGAGTTTGACGATCTTCCCTCCTCGCTGTCTTTTTGCTGGCGGTGATGCGTTTGGTGTTTTCCATACGACGCGTGGTTTCGGGCCGGCTTCTGGGTTGATTATTAGCGCCTCCTTGATGGCCTCCAGGTGTTCGCTTTTTTCGCCTTTCCACTTGAAGTAACGTTGTTGGGCCCACTGTATGGATTCTCCAACCTTTCGTCCTGCAGGTGCGGCTCTGATGTGGATGTAGCCTGTATATTGTCTACGGCTTTTTTGTTCTGAATATTGAGCATGCCGTATAGTATTGGCTTGGGCTCTTATATATATATGTCGGATCAGATGAAACGGGGCCTACTTTGGTCTCTTGGTCAGGACAGGTGAAGCGGGGCCTTCTTTAATGTGAAGCAGGGACAATTAAAAAAGGAAGTTAGAAATCCCTTGAGTGAAAGCATGGCAGAGCAGGACAGATTTAGACTGCTGCCAAGTGAGGTCTGTTCGTTAAGCGCTGACATACATGTTAGAAAGAGATGGCTAACAATGTATAAGAATTGAGTAGAAAGTATAAATTTGGAAAGTAGACTCTTGGGAGTCAGTTCAGAAAGCGCCTGGCAATCGAACGGAACTTGCTGCTGAGAATTTTAGTTAAAGTGATGGATAATACAAACGACCCTCCGACATCAGAAGTGGGATTCGCCTCGCCTACAGACAATACTCCTGGACAATATATGGCAGCGTTGGAAGCCCAGAACCGAACCCTGATGGAGCTAATAAAATCTATGCAGACACCAAGGACTTCGGCAGCGGACGATAAGGCTACGCATGACACCTTACCCAAATTTAATCCCGATGGTGGCGGAGCAGACGCCTCAGCCTGGTGTACAACAGTCGACCTCGTATATAGAAGAAGAAGAATATGTGCGAAAAGCGTGTGGACTTTTGCACTGTGGCCCCGCCAAAGGGAAAAAATAATGTATCCGGTGAGCTCATTCCAATTTGCTTTGATTCCGGAGCAGAGTGCTCATTAGTTAAGGAAAGTGTTGCAGAGAAATTGAAATGAAAAAGACTTAATAATATTGTAAAACTGAATGGCATAGGTAACGACTTCATCTGTAGCACAATGCAAATTCTTTCCAATATAAATGTTGAACAGTATTGCTACACAGAATAGATAAAAAGCCCCATGTTGTTGAATATTTTAGTAAATGCACATCACTTGCTGAATCAAAATACCACTCTTACGAACTTGAGACTTAGGCAGTCGTCACTACAAAATTTGTAGTGTTTACTGATTGCAACTCGCTGAAAGCTAGTCGTACAAAATTAGACCTATTGCCGAGGGTGCATCGATGGTGGGCCTTTTTACAGTCGTTTGATTTTGACATCCAATATAAGAAGGGAAAACGAATGGCACACGTAGATTTTTTGTCAAGGAATCCCCTGGTTAAAGAGAATAGAAGTGTGGAAAAAATAGTGGAAAAACGGGTTGAATTGACTGAGATAACTGCTAATTGGCTAGTTTCTGAACAGATACGTGATCCTGAGGTAGCAGAGATAATAGTTAAGCTTAAAAATAACGAATTGCCGGAAAACTTAGATAAAACCTATGAACCGCGAAAAGGAGTTTTATATAAGAAAATACAAGGAAACGGCCAAACCAAATGTTTGCTTGTAATCCCTAGGGCATTTAGATGAGCACGTCCACGAATCTATTATGCATCTAGGTTGGGAGAAAACGATAAAGTTTATGGTTTTTACTGTTTCGAAAACATGTCGAAGTACGTTCGTAGGTTTGTCGAAAATTGCATCACCTGTAAATTAGCAGGAAAGATGAGTGGAAAAAATGACTTAAAGGAGTACGTTATTGTTTTGGTAGATGCGTTTACAAAATTTGTTTATTATATCAGCCGTCGTGTGTTTGTTTGGAGTCCCAAATCGAATTATAGCGGATCGGGGCCGTAACTTTGCAAGTTCAGTATAAAGGTCTTTTTGAAATAATTGAACTATTAGATGGAGATCGGTACACTTTAAAATCTTTAACTAGCAAAAGAACTTATAAATATGCGCATGAGTTTTTGAGGGCATTGCCAAATAGACAAATAAATAATGAAATTGATAAAGATTTAGACGACTTTAGTGCAGATGCTTCTGATTCCCATGTGGGGAATGATGATATGGAAGGCACGGTGGATGCCTTGGAATCCCAAGAGGGGATAGAATAACCGCACCATAGCAGAAGGAATTGTTATGGCGGGGGTTAGTGATAACCGCACCATAACAGAAGGAATTGTTATGGCGGGGGTTAGTGATGACCGCACCATAACAGAAGGACTTGTTATGGCGGGGGTCAGTATGTGGGTGTAAAAGGAAATACACCAGTTGATAAAGCTATGCAATTAGTCAAGTCTGAATTGTAAATTATGATTAAAATGAAAATGTAATTTGTGAAATGTTATTAAGAAATCAATTTGTTTATTTTGTCTAAATGCCTCAAAACTTATGTGTAGAAAATGTAATGAAATGTTTGTTGATAATGAAATGTAATGAGAACTGAAATTTGAGAATACTGTGATTTTAAGGTAACACACGAGGACGTGTGAATCGTCAGGAAGGCCGTGTCGGATCAGATGAAACGGGGCCTACTTTGGTCTCTTGGTCAGGACAGGTGAAGCGGGGCCTTCTTTAATGTGAAGCAGGGACAATTAAAAAAGGAAGTTAGAAATCCCTTGAGTGAAAGCATGGCAGAGCAGGACAGATTTAGACTGCTGCCAAGTGAGGTCTGTTCGTTAAGCGCTGACATACATGTTAGAAAGAGATGGCTAACAATGTATAAGAATTGAGTAGAAAGTATAAATTTGGAAAGTAGACTCTTGGGAGTCAGTTCAGAAAGCGCCTGGCAATCGAACGGAACTTGCTGCTGAGAATTTTAGTTAAAGTGATGGATAATACAAACGACCCTCCGACATATATATTTTTTTTTCTTTGCCGATAATAGGCAGGATCGTCATGTAGTACGCCTACTTGAATGATTTTATTCGAGCTCAAGGCCCGTCTTTTATACGTTTTTGGTTTACATTGGTTCTTATGCATAAGCTTAATCCTAACTGTTCTTATGTACTTATCGTAATCTTACATTAGTCAATATGAAACATATGGTAATTAAAGGAGCTTTGAAGTTTAGTTACATTGATCGGTCAAAGGAGCTTTGAAGCTTTTAAGCGTGGTTTATGTCTGTTATACAAAGGTTGTTATATTTGATGTTTACCTATATATGAATGTTATACGAATGTTACAAACTAAAGCAACGACCAATACTGCGAAATCGGTGTCAAAGGCTCCATCGCCAACTGCAATGTCAACAAAAACCGTAAGCTACGAAAAGCAACAAGCGGTTCCGGTCATACAGAACGGTATGGATCGCTACATCCAGATTAAGAGTAAGCTTACTTAACAAACCAAAGACCGTGCAATCCAAACCAAAGAAAAAACCAGGATTTCCAACAACAGCAACAGATTTTCCGTCTTAGCAGATGGTGAGAGCCAAGCTGAGCCGGAGCCACTGACTCAAAAGAAACCAAAGCCCCCACCTATTTATATTAGGGAAAAAAGCTCAAACGTCCTGGTCAACAAAATTGTTGCGCTGGTCGGGGCAGAACATTCTCATGTTGTTCCGCTTATTAAAAGGAACATCCACGAAACGAAAGTTCTAATCAAAAATGAAGAACACTACCGAACTGTGTCTAATTACCTGGAGGAAACAAAAAATAACTTTTAAACCTACCAACTAAAAAGCAGTAAAGGGCTACAAGTAGTACTAAAAGGAATCGAACCCGACGTCTCCCCCTCTGAGATACTAGAAGCCCTTAAAAACAAGGGATTCTCTGCTAAGCATGTTAGCAACATTATCAAAAAAATAAAAAGCCGCAACCACTCTTTAAGGTCGAGCTCGAGCCAGATAGCAAAACCCTAAAGAACAAGAAAGGAAGCTAGCTTCGGCAAGCCGAAGCTTATATACCCATGCAGTCATCAAATATGTCGAACAAAACGCATAAAAGCTAGACAACATCGAAGCTAAGACAATTTTTCTACTCATTTTCCATATTTACGACTATAGATCATATGGGAGCTATATGATATAGTCGTCCGATTTTGATGAAATTCAATTCGTTATTCAAGAGTCGTTAGAAAACTCTAAATTTCAAAAATAATGATTGTCTGATGAAAAACAACGATGTTGTAACGATGCTTCTCAGGCCGGGATAGACCGTGCCAGAGATCCTTACAAGAAATTTGTAATTTACAGGGGAACTTGTTTATGAAAGGAATTGTCGAGCGCGGGTTTTGGATCAATGGTACTTCGGCTTTGGCCACACTGCGTACCCTCTAGCGAGCTCTGCGCCGTTAGCTAGCGGAGAGGGGAGCGGGAGGGGAGCTCCCACGTGCCGGTGAGACACCTGGCTGTACCGAAGCTATGCTTGGTAGGACAGATTAGGAACACGTGAGCGTGTCTGAGAGGGCCCAGGAATACTAGCTACGGCACGGGAACGGGGCACGCCGACGTCCTCTGGGTTAACCAGGAAGGGTCGTAGCCACGCCGGAGGGATCGCCAACCACTGGCAGGGATTGGGATATCAATCCAACAGGGGCACGCCGACGTTCTCCGGGTTGACGAGGAATAGTCGTAGCCACGCCTGAGGGATCGCTAACTACTGGTAGGGATTGGGATATGAATCCAACAGGGGCACGCCGACGTTCTCTGGGTTGACCAGGAATTGTCGTAGCCACGCCTGAGGGATCACTAACTTCTGGTAGGGATTGGGATATAAATCCAACAGGGGCACGCCGACGTTCTCTGTCTTAACCAGGAATTGTCGTAGCCACGCCTGAGGATTCACTAACTACTAGTAGGGATCGGAGAGGTTAGGGTTAGGGTTAGTTTCTATGAAGTCTACGAAATTAAATACGCACTGGAATTAAATGATAACAATTTATAACTTCACTTTATTTGATCTGGTCCTGCCTTGTTTCCCTGCTGCTGCACCGATGTCTGTTTGTTAAGCCGCGGTGTCTGTATCGTGTGTATAATGGTTGTTTGATTAAACCGCGGTGGCTGTACTGCGCGACGCGCGTTGGTTCTCGAGACACGTGATTTGGTTTTACCTGGTCGTGGAGCTTTCATCTGCTCCCTGCGGCGGACCGGGGCAGAAGAGAAGCCGAGTTGCGGAGCGCACGTCTGCTCGCTACGGCTGTCCGGAAAGGAAGAGATCGAGTTACGATCACGATCCTCTGTCCCGGCTGTCAACGTGGCGATTTTGACAGCGTCGCGATCTGACAACGTGTCAACCGTCAGCGTGTTGATCGATAGTGCCGTAAATGGCAACGTGGTTCAGGACGCGAAGTAAATGGCAACATGGTTCAGGACGCGAAGTAAATGGCAACGTTGTTCGAGCTTAAATTTAAATCTTATTTGTATGTAACGGTTTAGCAGATGTACTTAAAACTACAAAACAAAATACTTCAAGGCGTTTATCTTACATGACTAATGAAATATAACAATAAGGATATAAAAAGATAAACAAAAGAAAGTATGTGCGCCTCATTGAATGAGGCGTCACACCCCCTTCCTACTTCGGGGGGTCAAAAAGAATGGAGATGGAGCCGTGTGTTCGGCTGGTGACCCGGTAGCTTCCCTTTGGGGCGAACATTTTCAGACCCCATTTGTGAGGCTTAGCTGGATTGTATTGCTTATATGACGATTGACCTGGAAACCAAATTTAAATTGAAGATATATTTTTCTAATAAATTTAAATTTGAATACCTTTGTACGCAATGATTTGCTTATCAACGCTTTGATGCTCTTCTTGGGGTAGTTTACCGAAACTTTCTTTGAGAATGTCTAGTAAAGGGCGTATCTTGTACAGCTTATCATAATTCTCATCCCCTTTTTTGGATTGTTTAGTGTTATCGTTGAAATGTAAACGTTATTTTATTTTTTCAAACCTTCCTCGTGGCATTGAATCTGATATAGCAGTAAGCTTTAATTCTTTTGACCAAGCCATTTTCAGTTGCGGAACTTTTATTACTCCCAAGTATAACAAAATTCCAATATATCGCTTGATAAGAGGCCAACATTAAAAAGTATTAAAATAAAGCTTAGAAGGAACCTTTACTGAGCGCCAATTCGTTTCAAAATTGTATTTTCCAAAATTGTGCCGCGCCTGATGATGGATCTCTGTGATTCTTGGAGAACTTGCCATTTTTGATGGCACCAAGTGTTAGCAAGTGTGTAAAGTCCGCCAAATGGTGTTTTAGACACCTTGTTGGCCTCATAATGAGCCAAACCGGCGCAGGACATGGTGAAATTTGAGGCCTTTTTCACTAGAAGCCGCTTATCTCGAACGTTAAACTTTGTTTTTTGGAGCCCTTTATAATTTTTTTTTTTATAGTTTTCATTATCTGTTAATTAATTGTGTACAACATTTCTCGATTTTTTTTATTTTCGTGGCGATTTGGCTCACATTAAGGCCTGAGTCCAAATATGCATAAATTTTCCCCCATAATTTTCCCATCTTTATCCTGGAGTGCCGATCCAAGGCCTTTTTTAGTTTCATTTGATCAATAATAGCATCAGATTGAAAAAAAAAACGTTTTAAACAAACTGCGCACTGTACACAAGTGATTACTGACAAGTGTCCTATCCAAATGAAACGATTTTCAGCATGCAAAAAACCATGCAGCAGTGCAAAAACTCAAATAAAAAAGTAGGGAAAGCAATAATGAAAAAATGTAACTTCATTTTAGAATCATAATAGAACAGAGATTATAACTTAAAAAACAATTTTAGCTTTCAACGATTTTTGTCTTCGCTACGAGCGATTAACCATAAATGTTGCTAGGTGTCCTATCCAAATGAAACGAACTGTATATTCAATCTCTATTGATTCTCCTTTGTCCACGATATCTTTTAAATTCTTCTCCAGAACTGCAGAGATATCTTCCATTTCATCACCACTTTCTTCGTCAGTGGAGGCATCCCAATCAAAGTTGATAATCCTCTCAATGTCTTCATTTGATAAACCTTTCTCTTTCGGTCTCATAGTATGGTGTGTATATATTATGTATTGCAATGGCCCAAAGTTGCCCACAAGCAACTTTACAACTTTGAAAATGCGTCACCTCTTTATTATTGAAAATTAATTAAATTAAATCTTAATTGTAGATGGTTGAATATATATGTTTTTGTTGAGACACTTGTAGGCTTTATCAAAATTTTCTTTATGTGATTCTATTTTGTCCTTTATGTCTTCCCACTCCATTGACATTTATAATTTAATTATAATGTTGGCAAAAATTTTAAATCACTATAAGCTTAATAATTTCTCAAAATTAAATTATTTAAATTCCCTTGTTTTTTTTTTTTTTTTTTAAGTGTACATTAATTTATTTAAATTTAAATTTATTTTATTTATCTATTTTATTTTTAATTTTAGCCTTATAAATAACAATTTTAATTTTGTTTGTTTTTAAATTTTAAATTTATTCATTTCTTTTATTTACATTTTAATCTTGTATATGTATATACATAGGTAATAATTTTAATTTGGTTTGTTTCAAATTTTAAATTCATTCATAATAATTTTAATATGTATATTTTAATTTTAGCCTTATAAATAACAATTTTAATTTTGCTTGTTTTAAATTTTAACTTCATTCATTTCTTTTATTTACATTTTAATCTTGTATATATACATAGGTAATAATTTTAATTTGGTTTGTTTCAAATTTTAAATTCATTCATAATAATTTTAATTTTAGCCTTATAAATAACAATTTTAATTTTGTTTGTTTTTAAATTTTAAATTCATTCATTTCTTTTATTTACATTTTAATCTTCTATATATACATAGGTAATAATTTTAATTTGGTTTGTTTCAAATTTTAAATTCATTCATAATAATTTTAATATTTTTTTTTTTTTTTTTTTTTTTTTTTTGTTTTTAAATTTTATAACAACGGCGTTTTCGCCAAGTTGATTTTTATTTTTTTTTTGTTATTGTTGTTGTTGTTGGTGTCGTCTTTGTGCGTCAGTTTCTTGTTGCTTTTCGATGGCGTCAATCCTTCTCCATATTTCGCAGGCTTCGTCCCAAGGTGGTGGTGGCTCGTGGTTGACGAGCGATAGCAGTGCTGCTCGTAGCCTTCGGAGTTTGACGATCTTCCCTCCTCGCTGTCTTTTTGCTGGCGGTGATGCGTTTGGTGTTTTCCATACGACGCGTGGTTTCGGGCCGGCTTCTGGGTTGATTATTAGCGCCTCCTTGATGGCCTCCAGGTGTTCGCTTTTTTCGCCTTTCCACTTGAAGTAACGTTGTTGGGCCCACTGTATGGATTCTCCAACCTTTCGTCCTGCAGGTGCGGCTCTGATGTGGATGTAGCCTGTATATTGTCTACGGCTTTTTTGTTCTGAATATTGAGCATGCCGTATAGTATTGGCTTGGGCTCTTATATATATATTTTTTTTTTCTTTGCCGATAATAGGCAGGATCGTCATGTAGTACGCCTACTTGAATGATTTTATTCGAGCTCAAGGCCCGTCTTTTATACGTTTTTGGTTTACATTGGTTCTTATGCATAAGCTTAATCCTAACTGTTCTTATGTACTTATCGTAATCTTACATTAGTCAATATGAAACATATGGTAATTAAAGGAGCTTTGAAGTTTAGTTACATTGATCGGTCAAAGGAGCTTTGAAGCTTTTAAGCGTGGTTTATGTCTGTTATACAAAGGTTGTTATATTTGATGTTTACCTATATATGAATGTTATACGAATGTTACAAACTAAAGCAACGACCAATACTGCGAAATCGGTGTCAAAGGCTCCATCGCCAACTGCAATGTCAACAAAAACCGTAAGCTACGAAAAGCAACAAGCGGTTCCGGTCATACAGAACGGTATGGATCGCTACATCCAGATTAAGAGTAAGCTTACTTAACAAACCAAAGACCGTGCAATCCAAACCAAAGAAAAAACCAGGATTTCCAACAACAGCAACAGATTTTCCGTCTTAGCAGATGGTGAGAGCCAAGCTGAGCCGGAGCCACTGACTCAAAAGAAACCAAAGCCCCCACCTATTTATATTAGGGAAAAAAGCTCAAACGTCCTGGTCAACAAAATTGTTGCGCTGGTCGGGGCAGAACATTCTCATGTTGTTCCGCTTATTAAAAGGAACATCCACGAAACGAAAGTTCTAATCAAAAATGAAGAACACTACCGAACTGTGTCTAATTACCTGGAGGAAACAAAAAATAACTTTTAAACCTACCAACTAAAAAGCAGTAAAGGGCTACAAGTAGTACTAAAAGGAATCGAACCCGACGTCTCCCCCTCTGAGATACTAGAAGCCCTTAAAAACAAGGGATTCTCTGCTAAGCATGTTAGCAACATTATCAAAAAAATAAAAAGCCGCAACCACTCTTTAAGGTCGAGCTCGAGCCAGATAGCAAAACCCTAAAGAACAAGAAAGGAAGCTAGCTTCGGCAAGCCGAAGCTTATATACCCATGCAGTCATCAAATATGTCGAACAAAACGCATAAAAGCTAGACAACATCGAAGCTAAGACAATTTTTCTACTCATTTTCCATATTTACGACTATAGATCATATGGGAGCTATATGATATAGTCGTCCGATTTTGATGAAATTCAATTCGTTATTCAAGAGTCGTTAGAAAACTCTAAATTTCAAAAATAATGATTGTCTGATGAAAAACAACGATGTTGTAACGATGCTTCTCAGGCCGGGATAGACCGTGCCAGAGATCCTTACAAGAAATTTGTAATTTACAGGGGAACTTGTTTATGAAAGGAATTGTCGAGCGCGGGTTTTGGATCAATGGTACTTCGGCTTTGGCCACACTGCGTACCCTCTAGCGAGCTCTGCGCCGTTAGCTAGCGGAGAGGGGAGCGGGAGGGGAGCTCCCACGTGCCGGTGAGACACCTGGCTGTACCGAAGCTATGCTTGGTAGGACAGATTAGGAACACGTGAGCGTGTCTGAGAGGGCCCAGGAATACTAGCTACGGCACGGGAACGGGGCACGCCGACGTCCTCTGGGTTAACCAGGAAGGGTCGTAGCCACGCCGGAGGGATCGCCAACCACTGGCAGGGATCGGGATATCAATCCAACAGGGGCACGCCGACGTTCTCCGGGTTGACGATGAATAGTCGTAGCCACGCCTGAGGGATCGCTAACTACTGGTAGGGATTGGGATATGAATCCAACAGGGGCACGCCGACGTTCTCTGGGTTGACCAGGAATTGTCGTAGCCACGCCTGAGGGATCACTAACTTCTGGTAGGGATTGGGATATAAATCCAACAGGGGCACGCCGACGTTCTCTGTCTTAACCAGGAATTGTCGTAGCCACGCCTGAGGATTCACTAACTACTAGTAGGGATCGGAGAGGTTAGGGTTAGGGTTAGTTTCTATGAAGTCTACGAAATTAAATACGCACTGGAATTAAATGATAACAATTTATAACTTCACTTTATTTGATCTGGTCCTGCCTTGTTTCCCTGCTGCTGCACCGATGTCTGTTTGTTAAGCCGCGGTGTCTGTATCGTGTGTATAATGGTTGTTTGATTAAACCGCGGTGGCTGTACTGCGCGACGCGCGTTGGTTCTCGAGACACGTGATTTGGTTTTACCTGGTCGTGGAGCTTTCATCTGCTCCCTGCGGCGGACCGGGGCAGAAGAGAAGCCGAGTTGCGGAGCGCACGTCTGCTCGCTACGGCTGTCCGGAAAGGAAGAGATCGAGTTACGATCACGATCCTCTGTCCCGGCTGTCAACGTGGCGATTTTGACAGCGTCGCGATCTGACAACGTGTCAACCGTCAGCGTGTTGATCGATAGTGCCGTAAATGGCAACGTGGTTCAGGACGCGAAGTAAATGGCAACATGGTTCAGGACGCGAAGTAAATGGCAACGTTGTTCGAGCTTAAATTTAAATCTTATTTGTATGTAACGGTTTAGCAGATGTACTTAAAACTACAAAACAAAATACTTCAAGGCGTTTATCTTACATGACTAATGAAATATAACAATAAGGATATAAAAAGATAAACAAAAGAAAGTATGTGCGCCTCATTGAATGAGGCGTCACACCCCTTCCTACTTCGGGGGGTCAAAAAGAATGGAGATGGAGCCGTGTGTTCGGCTGGTGACCCGGTAGCTTCCCTTTGGGGCGTTGGAGGCGGTTCCGCTGTCGGGACCTGGCTTGTAGCGCTCGGGCTTGGATGATGTCTACAATGTGCACTAACGGAGCAGCTGGATCGCCTCCATCGGGCAGCCAGTCCAGGACCATGCTCTCGACCTCTGGTGGGAGTTCGGCCATCAGGGCGTCCATTGCCTCGTCCGATATCCCCAACTCCAGTGTGTCGGCGCCGGCTTCCGATGGAGTTTGGACGCGGATAGGGTGCCTGGTGGCACTCACTGTCGGATGCGGTTGCTGGGTACGCTTCCTCCTGCGGCTGCGTCGGAATATGGCGACGTCGTCTTCGTCGGAGTTACTCGACTGGGACGACCAGGCCATAGATTTCCCACTGGCCGTGTCCGATGATTCCGCATGGTTCAGCTGGCGAGCAGCGTCGTGAGCGGCATAAGTGCCCTCTACTCGCAGCATCCTGAGAGCGACCGGTATCCGATTGAAAGTGGCGTGTGCGCTTCCCAAGGGAAAGATGTCGTGGTCGTCCGGTTCTTCAACACAAACTGTGGAGCCGTAGGCTGTTTGGGGGTTCTTTGTGGCTGGCGTCAAGTCCAGGGCTGCGTCAGGAGCGGCGTATGCGTACTTTGACTGGCCAACCATGTCGATGGTTCCGTGGTCCGGGCGCAGCACAGCGCTGAATGCGGTGCTCGGCGGAGCCGTAGGGTCCAGGGCATCGCCAGGAGCGGAGTGAACGCGCTCGGGCTTACGAGCTTGGCCGGTGGTTGAGTGCCCAGAGGGCGACGCAGTGCTGAGACTGGTCCACGACGGGGTCGTTAGGTCCAAGGCGTCGTCAGGAGCGGAATGCACGCGCTCGGGCTGACGAGCCTGGCCGGTGGTTAAGTGCCCAGCGCTGAGTGTGATGCTCGGCGGGGCCGTCGGGACCAGGGCATCGTCAGGGGCGGAGTGAACGCGCTCGGGCTGACGAGCCTGGCCGGTGGTTGAGTGCCCAGCGCTGAGTGTGGTGCTCGGCGGGGCCGTCGGGTCCAGGGCATCGTCGACGTCGCTCGGGTCGGGGCCCACGAGCGCGAGGTTAGGCTCCGGTGAGATTGGAGGTTCTATAATCGGATCCTCTGTTGACCGAAAGGGCATCCGGATCCAGCACGAGGTGTAGTGGACCTGGAGCAACTGGATCCAGTGGCTGTGTCGGGTGACGTACCTTTCGATGTGTTCGAAGAATTGGTGTGGAACGCCTCCATAGCCGACCCCGGCGTCGCTCGGCGTGTCGCGTCCATCGCTGGCTCCCTCGTCGTCGTACCGTGGCCCGTTGCTGTAGTCGCTGTCGTCCTGGACGTATGCCTCCGGGGATGGGGCATACCGTGGTTCGTCGCAGTACCGAGGCGAAACGCCTTCGTAGCGGGTTCCATCGTCGCTCCATGGGTCGCGTGGTCCGCTGGCCCACTCGTCGTCGCTGTCATCTGCAACATATGCCTCCGGGGGAGGGGCACAGCGTGGTGAGGCAGGACGGCGAGGATGCGGAATTTCCCCATCGCGGTGAGGAGGGCTGGCGTTCGCGCTTTCGCGGTCTGCCTCCGACCCGTTGGATGACCGGGCAGAAGGTGGCCTTGTTCGGGTGCGCCGTACCTCGCGCCGGAGACGCCGGTCCCGGGGTTTGGGTGACGGAGCTCGTGGTGGAGTCGCGTCACTCTCACTGCTGCTGCATAGGTCGACAATGTTTGCTTGGTCCATGATAGTTTACTGCTGAATATTTCAAAACAGAGCCTTATCTAGCTTAAGATATGAATATCTATATATATATATGTATGCGCAAAATAATCCTAAGGTCGGGCAGCAGCTAACAGATTTCAGTGAATGAAGTCTTAAAGCTAACAATAGTTTGTTGGTTTATGCTTATAATCACCCCCCGTTGATACTTGGCGTCGTCGCCTCATCTTCTTCGGCTGGAATAGGTAGGCACGGGCCGCTTGCGTCTTCGTGGTTGTCATCTTCGGATTCGCTGATACCTGTAAGGGAGGGAGAATGGAAAGCTTTTAAATCTGCAATATTGGCTAACCGCCCCTTTCGTTCGCCGGGGAGGCGTAACCGAACGATATTGGGAGAGGTGAAGGCCACAACTTTATATGGTCCATCAAACTTCGGCGCTAACTTCGCCGCGAATCCTTCGGAAGCCTTTGAAAGGTGGTGTTGTCGCACCAAAACAAAGGATCCTAGGACCGGACGCCATTCCCTGCGGCGGAGATTGTACTGGCGACCCTGATCTTTGCTTGCTCTCTGTATGTTCCCCTGGACGATGCTGTAGATCTCTCGTAAGTGGTCGGCTCTCTGTGTGGGCGTCTGTGGTGCAGTTCCCGTTCCCGGGGTGACTTGTTCGTACCAAGTTTTGGGTAACCGCGGCTCTCTGCCTTGTAGCAGGAATGCCGGGCTGTATCCCGTCGAGTCGGAGACACTAGAGTTCAATGCAAGAGTGATTTCGGGGCTGAGAGTGTCCCATGTGTTTTGCTGGTCGCCTAGATACTGCGAGATCATCGTCTTGATTGTGCGGTTCGCCCTTTCAGTGGGATTTTCGCGAGGGCAGTAGGGTGCTGTATACTGGAGCTCTACTCCAATACCTGATAGAAAGGTTCGAATTGCTTTGTTAGTAAATTGGGTGCCATTATCGCACACCATTTTCTTCGGTGCTCCGAAGTGACCTAACCTCGTTCACGGAAGGCTCGAATTAGAGACGCTGAGGTTGCTTTGCGTAGAGGGATCAGTTCAATCCATTTAGTGAACGCATCGAAGAAAACAAGTAGCATGTTGTTTCCTTGCTTGGAACGGGGCAGCGGGCCTACGAAGTCTGCACATAGTACTGCAAATGGTTCCTCTACCTGTCTCGTGAGCATCATGCCGACTTGTCTTCTTTGGTCTGCTTTAAACTTTTGGCACAAGACACATTTTCGTACATATGCTCCGACGTCGCGGAACATGCCAGGCCAATAGTATTTCTGAGAGATACGGAGAATGGTCTTCCGTACCCCCAAGTGGCCTGCTGTGGGCGCGTCGTGGCATTCTTGTAAAATTCGTTGGCGATGCTCGCCTGGCAACGGTCTCATGCATAAAATCAAAACTTTCCCGGATACACTCATAAATTACTTGAGTCGTATCTCTACAAATGAGGTGCAACACAACAACATCCGACAACATTTTGTAGTTGCAGTCCCACAAAGAAGCGCACTTGGACCAACTCTATTCGTCCTTTACAGAGCGGATATTCCCACGAGCGACCGACTACTAACATCCACCTTCGCTGACGATACTGGGATCCTCAGCCGCTCCAAATGCCCAGTCCGTGCAACAATTAGCCAACCACCTCACGGTAGTAGAGAAGTGGCTATCCGACTGGCGTAACAAAATAAACGAACAAAAGTGTAAACACGTAACGTTTACTCACAAAAGACAAACATGCTCTCCGATCTACTTAAATAGTACACAGATCCCCCAAGTCAACGAAGTAACGTATCTCGACGTCCACCTCGACAGACTTCTAACATGGCGTAGACACATCGAATGCAAGAAACTACATCTAAAACTAAAAGCCAGCAGCCTTCACTGGATTATAAACGCCCGATCGCCCATGTGTCTGGACTACAAGGTACTGCTTTACAACTTTATTCTTAAATCAATCCATCCAAATGGACCTTGACATTCTTGCACTAAAAGATGAAATAGAGAAGCAAAAAGCGTCATACAAGGAAAAACTCTCAGCCCACCCAAATCCTCTCGCAAGGGATCTGTCTCGGGTTTCCAGAAGAACCCGCCTACAACGTAGCGACCTTCCAACCCAAGATTTGAAAGACTTATTGTTAGTCTCGTAAGGAGAAGATTCAATAAACAAAACAAAGCATTATAAAAAAAAATAAAGGCTAAGCAGCATCGAAGTTATAACGACTTTTCTATTAATTTTTCATATTTTCGATTATTATTTGTATGGCAGCTATATGATATAGTCGTCCGATTTTGATGAAATTCAATTCGTTATTCAAGAGTCGTTAGAAAACTCTATATTTAAAAAATAATGATTGTCTGATGAAAAACAACGATGTTATCATTTTATTTCCGTTAATTCCTTATAGATTTTTCGATCTTTCCTATGGCAGCTGTATGATATATTTTGCCCGATTTTTATGAAATTTTTTTCTCGGTTCAAGGGTAGTTAAAAAAGTCGATGTTGTATAAATAATGGTCGAGGAATAAAAAAAAACGACTTTATAATTTTTTTTACATTATTTATATATGTACATATTTATATATATTTCGATCTTTCCTATGCCAGCTACATATATGATAGAGTTATCCGATTTTGATCAAATTTAATCCGAAATTCAATAGTAGTTAGAAAACGCCATCTGGAAGAAATCAATATGATCGATCTGATCAAAAACAACGGCGATAGAATTTTGTATTTAAATATCTAGTATTGAAGCTATACTATATAGTCGCCCGATCCGGCCCTTTGCGACTAATATCCTGCGTGCAGCAACTACACAACTTTTGGGAAAGTTTCAGCAAGATAGCTTTAAAACTGAGAGACTAGTTTGAAGAGAAACGGACAGACGACAGACAGACACACAGACGGACAGACGTACAGACGTATTTGGATTCAGATCGTAATGCTGATCAAGAATATATATACTTTATGGGGTCTAAGGTGTCTCCTTCACTGCGTTGCAAACTTCTGACTGAAATTATAATGGGAAATTTTCAGCAAGATAGCTTTAAAACTGAGAGACTAGTTTGCGTAGAAACAGACAGGAGGACAGACGGACAGACGTATTCGGATTCTGCTCGTGATGCTGATCAAGAACATATAATATATACTTTAAGGGGTCTGAGGTGTCTTCTACACTGCGTTGCAAACTTCTGACTGAAATTATAATACCCTTTTGCTCTGCAAGGGTATAATTACAAAAAGGGAGTTAAACAAAAGTTATAAATTTAAGAATTAGTTAAGTTATTTAACATTAAAGTGCTTGAACGAAATAAGCTTCGACGACAGAAGTGCCTTGTTTTTTTAGTTTTATATAAAAAGTTGTTTTGTTTTTGCAGATTAGTAAAATTTTCTTTGTCATATATGTAAGTTCATAAAGAGTTTATTTTTGATTTACTGCGTTTAAATTTTTTTGATCTTTTCTAGTTTGGCATCAATGTCGATTTGAAATTTTATTTTGTTCTTGCGCGAAAGAAGCTTCGAGCCACTGTATATACCCTTCCAGACATCAAGTATGTCGAACAAAATACATAAGAGCTTAACAACATCAAAGTTGTGGCGATTTTTCTATTATTTTTAAAAGATTTTTATGAAATTTAATTCGAAATTCAAGAATCGTTAGAAAACTATTGATTCCAAAAATCATTCTTGTCTTCTGATAAGCAACGATGTTATAATTATATTTTCGTTAATTCTATATATATAGATTTTTCGATATTTGCAATGGCAGCTACATATATGATATCGTTGTCCGATTTTTATAATTATTTTTTTTGTATTCGAGGGTAGTTAAAAACTCGATATCCTAAAAATCATGCTCGTGGGATAAAAAACATCATATTTTTCCAATATTTATTTATATATCAAAATCAAAAGCGTAATGTTTTTCGTTATTTTTAATTCTGATAAAAACAAGAAAGGAAACTTATATACCCTTGGAGATCTCAAATATGTCGAACAAAATGCATAAAGCCTAACAACATCGAAGCTATGACGATTTTTCTATTCACTTTTCATATTTTCGACTATAGATCATATGGGAGCTATATGATATAGTTGTCCTATTTTGATCAAATTTAATTCGTAATTCAAGAATCGTAATAAAACTCTATATTCCAAAAACCATACCTGCCTGATGAAAAACAACGATTTTATAATTTTATTTCCGTTATTTCAATATATATTTTTTGATCTCTCCTGTGGCAGCTATATGATAGAGTTATCCAATTTTAATCAAATTAATCCGAAATTCAATAGTACAATAGTTAGAAAACGCCATCTTGAAGAATTCAAGTCGATCTGATCAAAAACAACGGCGTGAGAATTTTTTATTTCATTCTCTCGTATGGGAGCTATCCGATAAAGTCGGCCGATCCGGCCTGTTCCGACTTATATACTGCGTGCAATAACTACACACCTTTTGGTAAAGTTTCAGCAAGATAGCTTTAAGGGGGCTTCTCATGTAAAATTTAAAAAAAATCAAAATATTTTTTTTGTCATAAATCGATAGAATAACGTCTTGAGAGTATATTCCCGAAGTTTTATAACTCAACTCTCAATATTATGGAAAATATCAGTGATTGAACGAGCGCGCTCAAGTTCAAGACCCACACTAACTCAAAACTTTAAATCGTTTTTTCTCAAAACGATGTTTTAAAAAACGCGGTACACGATTACGGAAAAACTACTGAACCGATTTTTGATTTCTAAAAAGTGTCTTGCAGATTATACATTGAACGAGTGCGTGAATATCTGAAATTGTGAAAAAAAAAGTTATTTTATACACTTTTCAGCCCAATTCAGCAAAAAAAAAGACGAAAAAATGACACTTTTTTTTCAAGACGTGATTTCAATATTTTAAAATCGAATTTTTTGAAGTGGCTGACATTCACGCACTCGTTTGAACCTTGCTGCATACAACAAACTTTTTTTGTTTTTTTCAGATGAAAACTTTTTGCTCCACACTGTACCGCAATAAGTCCCTCAGCCGCGTCGAGCTACACGCGACCTTCAATAAGTCCGCCATTTTGTTTTTTAGAATTTTCAAAAAATGTTTTTCTCATACTTTAAACATGTCTTCAAATATGTGCAAAAAATTATTTGTGTAAGTTTTCATTTTCCAAGAGAAAAAAATTCCCAAAAAACCACTGCTTTTTGGCATGTTACATGAGAAGCCCCCCTTAAAACTGAGAGATTAGTTTGAAGAGAAACAGACAGACGGACAGACGTACAGACGTATTCTGATTCTACTTGTGATGCAGATCAAGAATATATATACTTATGGGTCTGAGGTGTCTCCTTCACTGCGTTGCAAACTTTTGACTGATATTATAATACCCTTTTGCTCTGCAATTGACTAAAATTATAATATCACCTGCAAGGGTATCAAAAACAGACAAAAACATTTTTAGGTCTCACAGTGAACGGCTTAAAAAAAACAAAATTGTTGCTAAATGTGTTCATGTAAGAGGTTGTGAAAATATCACAACGATGAATTATGGTTTTTCAAATGTATATCAAATTGATAAAGTATTGATGATCAAAAAAACCTCGATATGTAAAGTATTTTTACTATTTTTTTTAACTAACCACAAGAACGAAATTAATTTTTTAATGATTTACGGAAAATTTGTTGTGTGACATAAGGGTCCGTCATTCGGCTTTGGGTGCCACAAGCCCCGCATTTAAAATGCTCCCTGCTGTCAACAAAAACTACTAATCCTTGCGTTGCTCATCTTAGAGTCCAACAATTCTTAGCTGCGCGATAATCACTTAAAATATCATGGTTTTATCATTAAAAAATGGCATGCGTAATTTTTTACAAGCGTTTTTCTAAAAATGCCGAAACCAATCCCTATTATAATTCTTAAATTACAAGTGTTTCCTAGGACAGCTACTTTATGATATTATACAAAATTTTCGTCCACACTGCGATGGAAGATTCCGACTGAAACAGTACATAAATCCTTTTTCATAGAACATCAAAAATCTTACAAATAAAATGTAATGTATTTATTATTTTGGCTACAACATTTACTTTTAAGAATCTTTTGGAATACCCAGCTCAAAGTTGCTCCATTTTGAAGGATTTGGGTAGTCGAATTCGCCCTGTAAAAAGAACTTTAAACAAAATCACTTAATAAAATTTAAACTCACCGTTATATGATCAGGTTCATGCCACAAGTGCCACATTACCCACCACCACATAGCACCACCAACAGTAACAGCTCCTACTTTTGTTGCCCTCGAGTGCGGCGGGGGAGCATTACGGTAAGACACACTAAAATTCTTATGTAAGTTAACAAGAATAAAAAGTTTTCGCTGTGATTAAACTTACACATGACTTTCTCTTAAAATTATATTACGCGTCATACTCAGGCGGTGTAAACAACCGATCGAGGTTCGAAAAGAACCCACTTTCATCGCTATATTCATGGTTCTCGAAAAATTTTAAAATAAGCTTCGAATCGTATGTTGTAACCATTTACCTATCTTATTAGTAAGACCAAACTATTTCAATTATAGGATAATGGTATATTTCCACTTCAATTCATCAAAGCTTAATTTTGAAACTCATACCACAATGTGCGTCACAAAAAAACTGGGTGAATTAGCGGCGATTGTGGAACAGTGAAAAATGGAACATCATAAGTGTTTTTGTTTTAGCGCACGATTTCAGTTTATGGAAAATCACTTTACTTATTTTTGTATATAGCAATATCGTATTTAACATACCAGAAAAAAAAACAAATTCCTCGCCTTTTACAGAGAGTTTTCCGCTTTGCACGGTATTCCGTTCGATTAGCTTTTAATAGACCTAGATATTAAAAAAACCAAAATATTATTAAAATATTATCGCTATTTGTAAGAGATTATTGTCTTCTATTTTTCCACATGAAAATAAATATTTGTACAGATGAGAATCTACATAGATATATGAGCTATTGATGAACTCAAAGTGCAAATTTTTTATGCTTACCAATACCATGCGTTATGCACGACTTGTCCAAAATTGCGGCTCGTTCAAGAGAATCTGAAACGCTCAAATTCTTCTTAAACGATTTTGAACTTAAAGAACAGCCTAAGGAAGTGGAGCCATTGTGTACGACTTTTAAAGAAACTGTTTAACACTACATATATCAATTTAAGGACCAATTTTATTTTTTGATTCGGTGGGGTTGCCCAGCCACCAAACTAAACTTAACAAGAATTCAACAAAAACAAAACAAGTCTGAAGTTAATTAATAAGTCGACGTGTTGTTATACGCTCGTGAAGAGTATTACAATTCAGTCATGTGTTTGTAACGCAGTGAAGGAGACACTTGATTCTAAATTTGTTATAAAAACAGGTGTGGGGTGCCCAAAGGTTTTAGTGAAGTGAACCTACGATGGAATATAGAATTATTCTAAAAAAAAAACAAAGCCAGAATTAATTAACATTTTAAAAACAAAAAAAAAAGTTGATTTCGGCGAAGACGCGACCATTGAACAACAGTGCCGTAAAAAGTGCAATATAAAAATAGAGACAAATCCGTAACGACAAACCTAGTGAGAAACCTAATATAATCAGACAACATGATAAACACTGAAAATTTTATAATTTAACAACCTTCGATTTTGAAATAAAAAACGTAATTTCTGAGAACTTAATTTCTGAAACGGGCGACAAAGAAAGTGTGTATGAGGAAGAGAGAGACAAACATAGTGTGGAATCAGGCGGCAGTTTGCCGCAAACTTACGGTGAAATATATAAAGATGATGAAAATATTGAGAAAAACGAGGCACTTTTTGTCAGATTTATGTTCAAAACTTGGCATCCCTTTACAGTTTTCAGAGAAAAAAGTGCACAGAAAACGGAAAAAACATTTTGATGAACTATCTGTAGGCGAAAGACTTTCGAATCCTAAGAAAAACTTCGCAGTGACTGTTTTTTATGTATGAAATCTGTTCTGGATGTCTACAAAATTGATCAACCAAAATTCATAATCAATGCAACTGACGAGAAAATTTCGTTGGAAGCCGAAAAATTCATGAAAAATTTCCGTGATCTTCCACATTTCCATCGCAATTACTCTCGTTGCGTACAGCGTTCAGAAAAAAAAATCGGTCTGATTGATAGTGTGAAACAACTTGCTGAAATTATCATAATTGAAAACAGTTCCTTAACGTCAAGTTACTCTGATGTATGCACTGCTTGTATCATGTTTCTGACACTTCCTGTCACAGTTGCAACGGCGGAAAGATCTTTTTCGAAATTGAAATTGATTAAAAATTATTTGAGAAGCTCTATGGGGCAAGAGCGATTGTGTGGATTGGCATTATTCTCGATTGAAAATGAGCGATCAAGAAAGATCGATTTCAGCCAAGCGATCGACGAATTTGCGGCTTGCAAAGCGAGAAAGCGGCGTTTTTAATGGTATTTACCAAATGAGATACTGAGATATGTTGAAATAAAGCGAAAACATGTTGTTTTGTACATTATCTAATAAAACTGTAAAAATTTAGAATTTTTTTATTTTGTTAGACTATTGTGATCCGTTTAATGCACATTCAGAAAGTCCGAAAGCCATGGTAAGGCTTTTTCAGAACTAAAAAAGTGGTCGACAAGAACGGGCCCCGGTGGAGCCCCTTCCCTTCGGGGGCCGTGGGGCACCGCCCCACCTGCCCCATGCTAGATACGGCCCTGCTCGAAGGCCTGAGGCTGAACTTAAAGCGGAAATTCAACTACTAGAAAGAGGCTCAAAGAGGACGAGTAAAAGTGACATCATGGGTATAAAATATTTTGAAGCCTTGGTTCATTGTTTTTCAGGAGACAATGGTTTCCCAGTGCAACATTGTGTTATGTGCGTATTAGCGATAAAAACAAAAAAATTCCATCAAAGCAAACAAAAACAAAAAAAAAAAAGAAGTAAACAATTTGTGTTTACCAGCTGTCCGTCGATATCGGAGTTATCGATTGTGCGTGAGTCCAGGAAGTATTTGAAATGACTAAGCTTCAGGGACTGGTTCCCCGAATGTACTAACTTACAAATGAACCGAAGTTGGGGTTTGAAAATTTTGAGTGGTTTTTGGCGAAGAGCGAAGAGAAGATTAGAAAAGAATAGAGGAGGTTAAATCGAAGGTGAAAAATTTATATAATTTATTTATACAAAGAAATTCCAAAAAAATAAATAAAAACTGAACTGGGGGACTGGGTTCTAGACAATTTGGAAGAGAGGCACCACATGAACGAGGGCGAATTTTTTTAAAGGAAAAATCGGCCACTCACTCTGGGTGGCCTGAGGTTTTTATTTATTACTCTACTTATTTATTAAAATAAATTAGATTTAAGTAAAGAAAAAGACCCACCCCGAATTAAAATTGTAATTAAAATATACTAGTCCCAGAAAAGTTTCAAAAATTAATTAATAATCTAACGCCACCTATTTATTTATTAATTTAGGATATTTATTTAAGGAATATTTAACTTCATGTAATGCTTTCCATAATTATTTATTTTGTCAACATTGTATTATTTTAAATACTAAGTATGGCAAATATCGAAAGTTATAAGTATGTCGGAGCGTAGTTAATTAATTAAATTGCTCGCTCAACTGTTTAAGCGAATGGCTTAGAGTTGCAAGGTGAATCCTTGTGAATTGCTCGATAGTAGAAGAGTGAGACGACTGTATATGCAGTCGTCAGTGTGGCTCAGAGTTGTGTTGAGAAAAAGGGGTAACGATGGTGTCAAATCGTAGTTAAAAAGTCTTTTGGATTGTAATTTTTGAAGAGAACGCACGCACTGAGACTCGCTTCGCTCGCAAAATGTCAGACAACGGTATAAATCTTCAAGGAAACAAGACTCCTCAGTCAAGTATATAGAATAAGAGTAATCGATGTATAGAGGAGAGTGATCGAGGATATGGTCACTGAATAAAGAACAGAGGAGCGAACAAGACGTGAATTTAAAAAGACTAAAAAGAGGTTACAAAGTCAGGTGTGGGGTATAGCCCAAGAAATATAGTGGAGAGGAACTGCAATGGAATATAGTGATATCCTGAAAAATCTAAGCTTGAATTGATCAACATTTTGAAGACAAAAGGCGTTTGTTTCAGCGAAGGTGCAACGATCGGACGGGTGCGCAGCGCCGTAAGAAATATAATGAATGAAAAATCCGTAGCGACAAACATAAAGAAGAACCTAGTGGAACTGAATAATATGATGAAACCTGAAAGTTTCATATTTGCAACAGGCGACGGCCGCCATTTCTGAAACCGGCGTCAACTAGGATGTTCGCGAGAAAGAGAGAGACGAATATAGTGTGGCTTCGGGCGATAGTCTGGCGCAAAGTAGCGGTGAGCTTTATAAAGAAGTTGATGAAATCACAGAGAATGGCCTTCGAAACAATCAGATGCAAGTTTTTTCGCGAGAAGCAGAATGTATGCTGTTGGAAATTCAACACTTGAAGAAATTGGAGAACCTTTACCTAGCTCGCAAGCGTGTTGCCGAGCTTGAAGCGGAAGTGCAGCTGCTGGAAGGAGGCTCAAGAAGACCAAGTAAAAGCAATACCATTGATATCAAAAATGTTGAAGCCTTGGTAAATTGCTTTTCAGGAGATGATGGCTACCCAATACAACATTGGATAAATAAATTTGAACACATTATGAATAAGTTCGATGTACCGGATCAACGCCGGTGGATGTTTGCAAAGCGTATGCTGTGTGGATCAGCCAAAATTCAGATGCTCCATATTAACCCGATGACACGGACTGCCCTGCGCAGGGAGCTGCTAACGGTCTTCTAACAGAAAATGACGGCGTGAACGTAATTAAACAATTGGAAGCTAAAAATAAATTTCCAAATGAAAGCGCACTCCAATATTACATCGCTATGTGTGGCATCTCCAAGCAAGCAATTTTGGCAGACTCTGACGTGATTCGCGTAATTGTGAGTGGGCTTCAAGACAAGACCGGAGCTGCCACTGCCTTAGCCTTTTGCGAGTCCTTGGACGAGTTGCGGAAAAAGAACACCATCTACGATAAAATAAAGATGCCAGATCAGCTTGTAACCCGTAGGGACCCCAAAGACACCAGAAAAATGAAGAAGACCAATTCGGCAAATTGGTAGTGCGATGCTTTAATTGCAGAAAAATGGGGCATTTGATGACGTCCAAAAAGACCGGAAGGTTGCTTCAACTGCTACAGTCAAGACCACAAGTACCAGGACTGCCCGAAGAAGAGAGCTGCCGTACAAGATGAGGAACTGGCGGATACAGAGAACCTAGCGGCTGTTCAATCTGTTAAGTTATGACTTTTTGATGGTGAAGAGAGATGTATTACTGTTTTAAGTTTTTTTGACATAGAAAGTCCAGTCAGCTTTATTCAAAAATCATAAGTTCCAAATAACGTTAAATTTAAATCGCATAGAAGCAAATACCACGGTATAGGTGGGTAACAAATATTAATTTTTAGAGAAATTAAATGCTGTATACTCTATATTTTCGTGGTAAAACTTATAAAATTGCATTT